TATAACTGTGAGTTGTACGTTATTTTTATTGTTTGCCTTGTCATTTGTTTTATAATTTGAGTTAGAATCCTCCAAGGGCAGATCTCCTGATCTGTGTTTAGAAGACAAAACTGGGAAAATTCCACTGCAGCGGTCATAAGTGTTTTAAATACACTGGTTTTGTACAGTTTGTCTTGTGTAAGGAAGTAATTAACCCTTACAAGTTTTAAGATGGGTAGCTCTGAAAGCACCCAAGGGGGATTTACGGCTTTGACTATTGTCAAGCATCACAAAGGACAAGGAGCAATTAAGAATGTTAAGAGGTTACTTAAGAAAGCTGGCATGCCCTCAGAAGGCACTCTAGACCCACATATATGGAGTGAATTTATGGCAAATTACAGAGGTTAGTTAGAAGATAATGACTTAGTAGAAGTCGCACAAAAATGGCATGATACTGCTGTTGAATTAACTAAATGTGGTTGAAGAGAAACCACCAGGAAAGGTGTACCCTATTATTTTGGACCACTAGGGTCCCAGAGTAGGCAAGATCCTGGGAAAAATCTTGTAAACCCACCCCTTTACTAGGATACTGCAGGGACTCCTTTGGTCCCTAAAGGCCAGGCGATTTCCCTTTTACGGAGATCAAAACCTCTCTTTCCAGTAATATTACACAGTGTGGACTTCATATGGTGTCCCAGTAAGACCTATGGGTTCATTAGAGCAGGAAGGTAGTCCAGACTTAAAGGAACCCCTAGTTGCCCCCATAGACACCTCAGTGGGGCCATTAGCTCCACAATTTTCTACTCCCATGATACCCAAAGTTGAGAGAGTTGAGAACAGACAGCCGAGTGCAGGTATCCAATACTGGGAAGAATATAAGCCCTGGACACCCAGTGAACAACTGGCAATAATACAGTAGTGGCAGATGTTGAAAAGGCCCCCTTAGCTCTGGTCCATTCTTTATCCACAATTCAAGCTACTTACCAGTGTACTTGGATGGATTTAAAACAGATTGTGGCACTAAAAGCTGGCCCCATTTGGAATAATTGCTAAATATACAGATGCCCATGAAGATAACCTCAGAAAAAGCAACATGCAAACAGATGAATGGTTTAGAACCAAGTCTGCATCTGGTCACTGCAATTAGATAATGGGCTAAGGTAAAGACAGAGGAACTAGCCCATAAATTAGGAGATATACTACAAGGGAAAGATGAATCTGTAGAAACATTCTTCACCAGACTACAGATGGCTTTGGAGGCATTGTGTTACACTGATGTTGTAACCACTTCGACCAGACTGCTTATTAACTGCTTCATGGATGGTATCCACATACCCATAAGGACTTGTCTCCAAAATGCTAGACCTGAGTGGAGAAGTTTAACCTATGGTGATCTGGTGAAGGTGGCTAGGGGAGTGGAAGCTAATCTAAATACTAGAAAGAGGAGCACACCTCTAATGGCTGTAACTGTCCCTAGAGCTGGTGGAGACAGAAGGCAGGTAGACTGCTGGAATGGTGGCAGGAAAGGACACATTAAACGTAACTGCAAGTGTCCTCCTAAAAATAGAAAACCCCAGGATTCTAATGATAACTCCCATGACAGCCAACCACCTCCACCACCTCCCCCCCTCCCCCCAATAGGAAATTGGCAAACCAGTGTCCCTACATATTATAAATATCCCTGACTCTGCAGGACCCTCACCCATTATCAATGTTACACTGCCCAGGGACCGAATAGTCCCTTTCCTGTTGGACACTGGCGCTGCTAAATCAATGTTACAGGACAAATATGTGTTCCCATATGATAAATCTAATGATGTATTATCATGTGTAGGGGTAGTATCGAAAATGACATTCCCCTTACCCACAAGCTGAAATTCAAAGAACATGACTCTACTGCCCTTGTAACAAGGCTACTTGTCAGCCCTCATGCCCCTGCTAACCTACTAGTCAGTGATATACTGTCTGCTCTTATCGTGCAAATATCCAGTATAGCCCCACTGGAAAAGTAACATTGTCTGTGCCTTTGGAGGACAAACAAATGATATCTCTTTCAAATGTTCTGGCAACTCTCACTATGCCCAGCCATATGTCAGTCCCTGATTCCTTATGGGCTACAGGGAAGACAGATAGAGGCAGACTCTCTGTGCCCCCAGTCAAAGTGAATCTCCTGCCCGGAGCCAAACCTCCCTATCAAAAACAATACCCCCTAAGCCCAGCACAGGAAGATGCTATTTCGCAATCTGTGCAAGAGTTTCTGCAGGCAGGGGTAGTTGTCCAGACCACCTCCCCTTGTAACACACCATTGTACCCAATTAAAAAAAGCAAGAGAAAGGGAAACCTGTGGTCTACCGTATGGTACATGATTTGAGGGCAATTAATGCTGTAACTGAACTCATTGCCCCTAATGTTCCCAACCCACACACCTTGTTGGCACAAATACCACCTTCCTCTAAGGTATTTACTGTTATTGACTTGGAAAATGCATTTTTCAGTGTCCCCCCGGCTCCCGACAGTCAGTTTTTATTTGCATTTACACATAAACACAAGCAGTACACTTGGACAGTATTGCCACAGGGTGCACAAAACTCACCCACTATGTACAGCATGGCTATGGCACAGATTCTTGAAGAATGGCAAAGGCCAAATAACGTAATTTTATTGCAGTGTATCGATGACCTACTCCTATATTGTGATAATATGGAATCTTGTATTGTAAACACTCGTTCCTTGCTGAAATTCCTAGAAAAAGCAGGCTGTAAAGCGACAAAAACGAAACTGCAAGCATGTGTAGAGAAAGTTATTTTCCTAGGACATTGCATTTCACAGGGCATAAAACATCTCACGGAAAGTAGAAAAACTGCAGTTCAAAATATTAGACCCCCCCGCAGTTTAGCCCAGGTTCGTACTTTCCTCGGTTTGATTTCTTACTGCCCCCCTTGGCTGCGTTCTGTAGCTATCTACATGCAACCACTGTATTATTGTCTTGCCAACGAAAACAAACCATTTAAATTAACCCATGCGGCAGAAAATGCCTTCTATACCCTTAAGGTACTGGTAACGTCAGCTCCAGCACTGGGTCTCCCAGATTACGGAAATAATTTTAACCTGTTCTGTACTGAGCAATCAGGTTATGCTACATCTGTCCTTACACAGGATCATGGTGGTAAACAAAGATCAATAGCATACTACTCCGCCAGATTGGACCCTGTTGCCAGGGGTGCCCCCTCATGTGTTAGGGCAGTGGCGGCGGTTACTGCCCTCCTGGACAAAGCCACTGACATTGTCTTAGATAACCCGGTGACCATTTACACACCGCATGATATGGTCACCGTGCTATCTAAGACAATATCAGTGGCATATTTAAGGTATATTTAAACACGTCACACTCCAACTGAGCTGGTACACTGCTAGTCTATGCAGTATTCCCACCTGATTCGGCCAATCCAGAAAACTAGAAACACTAAAATATGTTTTAAAAATTCCAGACGGTTGATGTGGCATTTCACCGGATTCAGTAACTCTGGAGATTTGTGCTATGTCACATGATTCTGTATGTTCCGTGTCCGGTACCAGCTAAATTCTATAGATATCTGGAATTGGGTAAAATATCGGCAGACACTCTGAATTCTGTGTACAAAACGCCCAAGTCAGCCTGGACACCAGTATGAAGCCCTTCCCAGCAGTGAGGTTGAGAGACATAGGGAGTAGGGGGGTGAATTGGGCTCGGCATGGGATCACAGGTTTATTTACTATTTTCTTCTTTCTCCATAGAGGAGGCTGGTGCCAGCATCACGTCATTAACTTGCATTATTGTTTTATTCATATTTTCATGTTACAATCGTGGCGGACCACCACTGTATTGCACCCAGAAATTCCCTTTCCCTCAGTGTTATAGCTCCTCCGAGTAGTAGTGTAGTGATCACACCCGTTATAGCTTCCTCCTCCCTCACCCCACCCATACATTAGTTGAGACTTAATGTTGGGAGATCTAATTTTATTGTTACAACCACGGTCATTTATACACAGCCCCCCAGTATGGGATACCTATTCAACAGGAAATAATCCCACCCTAGTGCCTCTGTATCTGGGAGATAATTGTGTTTCCACTTGCTAAACCAATTATCTCCCGGACCTAGTGTTTACAACATAAAATATCCCCAAAAACCCACAGAAACCCCACATATCATTCAACCTCAGATAGCTCTGATCAGAGCGCCCAAGTTGGCAAAATAGCACTCGGATCCATGCAGAATTGGAGAATCGCCCCTGGGGTAAAGTTTTGACCAGCCGCTAGTACGGTCCATGCCCAGAAGAGTTCCATGATGAATAGGGCTTTGGCTGATCAAATGACGGGAACTTCTGTGGACAAAAAAACATTGTTCCATTTAGTTCCTTGTACCTCCCCTCTAAAAAGCACTATCCTGGCTGGTCAGAAAGTGGGAGAAAAGCGAGGTAGAAGTTGGCCATAAAATGGGATTAGCAGTGGCTAGGCCAGAGTTCCAGAAGAGTTGTAGGTAAGTCCCACTATAGTCCTCACCGCTCACTGGACTCCTTGTCTGGCCAGGGACAGAGGAGATCCCGGATGATTGGCTTGGAGGGGAAGGTGTTGGGAGCCAGAGGCAGTGAAAACATAGGACATACATAGTGTGACTGGGGTAGTTTGGGACACAATTATAGTAAATGGCTATAATAATGTTCCCTTAAGCTGGTATTCTGCAATAATGGAGAGGTAATAACACTCTGATGATTAAATAAACTGGGTAAACTAAATAAGAATGTTATTTTGTTAAAACAGAAAGATAACAGAAACACATTATGTGCTAATCAGACAGCCTTGAATAGCTATACATGGAGCAGAAGCCATTTATAACAGCCAGCCTCCAGTAAATGGCGAATTGTAAGGTGAGCGGGATAATTTTCTAACTTTTGGAAAATGTCAGCTGTCCATTGCCTGCAATTCACTGTTTAGCAAACTAACAAAAGCACAACAGCAATTGCTAATAGAAAAGACAACCTAACATCATCAGATCTGGGAATAGTGAACCTAACATCATCAGGACTGGGCATAGGCTATAGTGAACCGAACACCATCTGATCTGGGAATAGTGAACCTAACATCATCAGGTCTGGGCATAGGCTATAGTGAACTGAACACCATCAGATCTGGGAATAGTGAACCTAACATCATCAGGTCTGGGCATAGGCTATAGTGAACCGAACACCATCAGATCTGGGAATAGTGAACCTAACATCATCAGGACTGGGCATAGGCTATAGTGAAACGGACACCATCAGATCTGGGAATAGTGAACCTAACATCATCAGGTCTGGGCATAGGCTATAGTGAACCGAACACCATCTGATCTGGGAATAGTGAACCTAACATCATCAGGTCTGGGCATAGACTATAGTGAACTGAACACCATCAGATCTGGGAATAGTGAACCTAATATCATCAGGTCTGGGCATAGGCTATAGTGAACCGAACACCATCAGATCTGGGAATAGGCTATAATGAATATAACGCCATCAGATCTGGGCATAGGCTAAAGTGAATCGAACACCATCAGATCTGGGAATAGGCTATAGTGAATATAACACCATCAGATCTGGGCATAGGCTATAGTGAACCTAACACCATCAGATCTGAGAATAGGCTATAGTGAACCAAACACCATCAGATCTGGGAATAGGCGATAGTGAACCGAACACCATCAGATCTGGGAATAGGCTATAGTGAACATAACACCATCAGATGTGGGCATAGGCTATGGTGAACCGAACACCATCAGATCTGGGAATAGGCTATAGTGAACATAACACCATCAGATGTGGGCATAGGCTATGGTGAACCGAACACCATCAGATGTGGGCATAGGCTATAGTGAATATAACACCATCAGATCTGGGAACAGGCTATAGTGACCCGAACACCATCAAATCTGTGAATAGGCTATAGTGAATATAACACCATCAGATCTGGGAATAGGCTATAGTGAACCGAACACCATCAGATCTGGGAACAGGCTATAGTGAACCGAACACCATCAAATCTGGGAATAGGGTATAGTGAACATAACACCATCAGATCTGGGAACAGGCTATAGTGAACTGAACACCATCAGATCTGGGAATAGGCTTTAGAGAACCTAACACCATCAGACTTGGGAAAAGGCTATAGTGAACCTAACACCATCAGACTTGGGAAAAGGCTTTAGTGAACCAAACACCATCAGATTTGGGAATAGGCTATAGTGAACCTAACACCATGGCTACACAGATATCTCAATAGCTGGTGGCTACATATGTCTCAATAGCTGGTGGCTACATAGATGTCTCAATAGTTGGTGGCTATGTAGATCTCTCAAAAGCTGGTGGCTATATAGATGTCTCATTAGCTGCTGGCTATATAAATGTCTCAATAGCTGGTGGCTATGTAGATGTCCCAATAGCTGGTGGCTATGTAGATGTCTCAATCATAATATTGCTCCTGGTCATGTTAGTGGTTGGTGTAGTCTGAACTTTCAGTCCTCTAGGGATTAGATCCTGTTTTAGATAATTTTGCAACAACGAAATCTGAAAACAAATCCTGAGCTGCTGCTTATACAACTCTGTTAAATTCCTAATCCCAATGTTAAATTGTAATCTGAGAGGCCCTCTGTTGTTTTTGTCCGAGAAGACAGTTTCAGCATCTTTGCTCCCGAACAGAGACCACCCAGATACCTAATTTAGAATAGTAGTATAGAACGTTGACACCTCGTAACAAGGTGTGAAAATCA